AAATATAAAGGCTCACAACGGCCAAATAGGATAAAAAAAGACTAATCGCTTAGAACTGGAAACTAACATTCCTCTGCTTTAAAAGGGCTTTTCGTTTGTATAGCCCCCGTTAAATCCAAACCGTATTAAAAATCCACCGATTTGTCTCATGGAAACCGTACTCGTGTTTTTTTCCAGAAACCACATGAAAACGGTTTATAACGTCTTCCGTCGACCAAAAAAATATTTGACCTGAATGGGGGGTTCGTCTAATGCGAACAGGTGGATAATAAACGTTTTTAACATAAGTTGCGAAAACTGTTCTTCGCCATGATGAATTTGTTATTTTTTTTCTAAAAGAAACTAAGCTTGTCTAATAGCAAGAATAGCGGATGCACACATGCGTGCTACAACAGTCTTCCCAAGCTCGACTCAATTCAGTTTCGCCCTCTGTTACGTTTGGGTATGTGTAATGTAATTAGGCTTGTCAGAAGATTTCCGGATTCCGGGTTCTGACTAACATGGAAAGATGGGAACTTCTGGGTCCTCTTGAACGAGAAAGCCGTCTATCAGATAATTAGTTACTGTGGTACCTTTGTGCGGGGATGGCCATGACATTCGGTGCATCTCACTTACGAAAATAATAGAGGAACAATGAGTCTACTGTCGGTTTACTCTCAAAAAAAAACTATGTGTGGAAAATTATGTGGAATATTACAAGCAGGAGATCAAACAATTACTGTAGTCTAATTTTCCAAAAGTAAGCCAAATTATAAAAAAAAAATTGTTTACTATGATTGACTTTTGCTAGCAGAAATTTTTAACAGTGCCTGAGGACAAAAATGTAGTACGAAATAAGACAGTACGTCGGTCGAATCTCATGTATTATATTCTACGGTAACCTCGTTAGTACACTAAAAAAGATCTCAAACACTGAATCTAAAGATGCTGAAATGATTAAAAGAGTATGAATTTGCAAAACGGAAAAAACTAGTATTCACCAAGACAAAAAAAATGTAAAGAATGGACAATTATTGCGCGCATATCAAAGACGGTTTTAAAGCTTTTCTCACAGCTGGTCGTGATTTTATATATGCATATTGACCTATTCATCCTCATTTAGTTAACTAAATCTTCTCGCTTTCTTTTAAAGTCCGTAACGCGTGAGCTATGTAAATAGCTAAGAAATTTTTCTAGAAAACCGTTTGCGCAGTAAACGCATAAGGCTTGGTTTATAAGTCAGTGTAAAACCTCAGGCAAAGCATCATTAAAATTTGTCTTTAATCAGCAGAGGAACAAGAACCTTTCGGATTATTTTTCATTAGACGATACGGCTTTTAATTTTACTAGTTATTTACTTTATTTTTTGATAAAATTGCAATAAAGTACCTGCTTTCCTTTTAGTCGTTTTAAATTTTGTACGTTACAAAAGAAAAATAAGGTTGCTTACCTTGATGGTCCTGCTTTTATGATTTGATAACAGACGCGATAATAGTTTATTGTCGTACATAACAACATATTGCCCTCGCCCAAATGTCATTCTCCTTTCTTCTATTCAAACAGCTCATCGGTACTGGAGTTAGTCGTGGTGTCGGTACTGGATGACCCTCTGCTTCGAAGCGGCCTGCTGGCGGCGGGAGCCGGGGGTGGAATCTGTGCTGTACCTTCCGGGGGCCTGTCTCGTTCGGTGATTAGCTGCCCTGCGCCTTCATTGGGTTCGATGGACACTACTGGAGGCACCGGGCTGGCCTCTGCTGGGATTGGCGCTGGATTCAACGTCATTCCTGTGCAGCGATCCCACTGGCTAAGCAGCTCCCTAGCACCTCGACCCTACCTCAGCTCGTACCCTCGAGGAAAAACTTTGGCCAGCATAGGTTCATATTTCTATAGGGAAGAGCAGCAGCGGGAGTTAAAGTCGTTGCAGCTTGTACATAGTTCACCTATCAACCAAAGTACCGGTAAGCGCAGTACTAAAGCGTTTGTGATATGGTGTGCTCGACGATCTAACTCGACATGCCATTAGAGTCGGTAGTCATCGTAACTTTTACGCTAACTTAAGACTCTTTAAGGGCACGAGTCCTGCAAAATCGAAGAGACGCTTTTAGGCGTATGTATATTGTGCCATACGTACTCCACACATTTTTAGCTCGGTTGCTTTTAAGGTTTTTGATATTTCATATATAGTTGATATAGTCATAAAAAGAACGTCTTGCGGTTGCTTTAAGAAGCACAAAAATGAAGCTAATCAGAAATTTATTTTCAGTTTTACAGCATAAATTTAGGGTTTCGTTAATTAACGTTATTATGCACAGAAACTGTTGGGATCAACAGGAACTGTTTCAAGGTAGAAAAATGTAGATTTTTTTTGCTAGGTTTGAAGCATTTTTAGACCTAATTGTATCACTGATACCTTATTTAATTTTCTATTATAAGAACCTGTACAATATATTGTATATTTAGTAATAGATGATGGTAATGTGGTAATTTATCATTGCAAAGGTCATTAAGTGACTTGGTTTAACAACATCATTTCGTCAAAGCAGTAACGCAATGTTCTGCGTCATCCAAAACAACAGGGCCGAGAGGGTTTTACAAACGTATGGACTTACGTTTATTGCTATTCGAACTTCTTGGAACTTTTAGTTCTTAGTTAAAGGGACATCCAAGCCAATCCTTTATTTTTATTATTAGTAATTTTGATGCCGACGTCACTTGAATCTCTATTTTTTCCAGTATCATTAAACGAAAGTGTAACAACGAGTGGCAGCATTTCCGGTGCGGAAAGTGAGCTGTCCCTCAGCCTCCCTGCAATACCTTTGACTACCTCAACACCTTTGCCTTCGTCAAGCTCTTCCAAAACATCTAGCTGTGCTGGTCCTATGCCACCGTCTGTTTCTGTACCTAGTCACTTAGCTACTGGGAAAGATGAAAATAATTGGAGAATACTCCCTGAAAGAGGACCACTACCTAACCGTAGGGGACAGAAAAATAAAAAAATAAAGGCGAAAAAGGACAAACGGTTGTCAACTGAAATGGCGGCAGCTCGTCGAGGAGAAGGAAGCCGTTCCTCATCACTTGGCTCCCTTGATTCACCGTCACCTGGTCTACAAGTGTCCGTAGCTGCCAAATTGCAGTTATTTGAAGGTGGAGGTCAGGGTTTTCTTGCTCGGTCAATGGAGAAACTTAAATTGTACCGCAGTGAGTTAACAAGAATGACTTCTCCACCACCGAATACGGTGCAGACTCGCACAGCGCAATTTGAAAAGAGTGTCATAGTAAGTGCTCGCGGCGCTGATGAAACCATACATCACACCTGTAGCCGAAGAATCAATAAAAAGGTTTCTGTTCATGAAGATACCAGAGCAAATTGGCAGAGTTCCACTGTTAAGGATGAAAAAATTGGCACTGGCGGGGATAAGAAAAGTGGTACGACTTCTCCCCCACCTGGAGTGTCTCTTAAGAAACTGAAGACACTTTTTGCAGACAAAAGTTCCATGAGCCATGGTGGCACTAGCTGCGCTCTCAAGATATTACGTTTCCCCGAAAATGGCAAGAGATTCGACCACAGCTGGCGTCCAGCTGGGGTACATGTCGAGAAAAGGGGCAATGGAAATTCCATTTTGAGGATTGTCACGGATAAGGTATGGTAGAGACTTAAGTGAAAGAAGACTAATGATATTGGTTCAATTCTTTTAGATCAGCAATTTTCATAACTTCTTTATGCAAAGACAGTACTGTGCGTTCTTTTACAGTGCAACTATTAAAAGGACTACATTTGCTTCTTAGTTATTTTACTGCTCTATAATTACTAAAATCAGTGTCTATATCCTTTGCAGGAGTCTATAAACGTAGTTGTAAATAAGCTATTGTGCGATTTGGCCTCTGGCTCAGTGCGCGTATCCCTTGCGTCAGCTACTTTGGCGAAACGACGCAAGAACGTGCTGCACTTCATTGTTGGAAGAACGGTGTTCCCTTCTACAAAGAGCGAATATCCACTAAAAGAATGTTCATTCTGTTCACAAGACGGGAAGCTTCTCGCATCAAGAGCTTCAAGTGATGCTGAGTATGAGTTTTTAGTGCAATGTGATACATCTGCGACTATGAACAGTATTTGCAGTAAGTGGATACAATATTTTGTGGAGCAGGAAGGAATTGCTATATCACTTCTTTTTCTTCCTTAATCGAATCACTTTATACAGATTCGATATACGTTCTGAGAAATTATCTGGAGACAAGAAGCTTATTTGAATTTTAGTGGCTACCTGAATGGCCTTAGCTTATGCAAAAGATAGAATATGTGATCAGATTCTTATTGTTATCACCAATCGACAATGTTAAGCTAAAAGGCTTGATGACAAATCTAATGTCTAACCACAATCGTCTTTAATTTGCGGTCTTATATATCGCAACTCTACGGGTAGGGTGATCAAGTGATATTACCATGGATGCATTCAAGTAAAATATTACTGTTGCTTTCTGTGAAAGCAGTTATAATTAACTTACCCCGATTTTTCATTTCATAAGCGAAAAACATCAAAGATACCAGTAAGTCGATTACTTTCAATATAGTCAGTTTACTTTAAGTACGACCATTACAGGTGAATTGAATTTCGGCGCGCTTTGTTTACAAACAAACGCAAATTTTACATTCTGCTTAAGTCAAATTTAACAATGATGATGAATAAAATATATTATCAATACAATGAACTTTTGAAGCGAGCATTCTGAGTTGCCAGGCCGCTACTTTATCCAATCCTATTATACGAGTAGCATTCTTTGATGTCTTTCAAATAAATTACTTCTGGCCTAGTGCTGCATCTAGCAAGTTGATTAATTTCTTCTAGATCTGGTTGATAAGTTTGAGAGAACTATGTAAAAGTACATTTCGATACAACCCGTGGTTATTCTATCTAATGCATCGTATGATTCCAAGAATCCATGGGCATTAGTAGTAATATCTAACTTGAGTGCGTTTTTCTACCATAAAATATATGTGTTCCAGTACAAAAAGATATAATGTGAGATTTGAACATTTATAACGTTAATATGCTCAGTTAGATACTGCCGTATTTCCTATAACAGAAACTGCGTTTTTTCTTTAAAATGCAAGTGAAAGACTCTTAAAGAAAAACATTTCACAGAATTAAATGAAACGTCTGTACGGACGTCTAACGGCCACACACAGTCTCATATAGCAAGAAACAGAGATCCTTTTTGATTTTGCTATGGTGATAGCCCTGTGACTTACACTGCAGCTGACATATAATTAGGCTATATTGTCTGCTGATTGAAACTCCGAAGATCAACGACGATAGCAACAACAGTGGCGCTCTTAAATAGCGAATATTTTCATAATGCTAGATAAATTAGTCGACCTGTCGAGGCTACTGGAGTATGTCGGCATTGACCGACCTACGGCGACATTCTTGACCAAACATAAGGCCATCATCAAAACACAATTCAGCCAAATTTAGGACCTTAAATCTGCCAAGCGCTTAAAATACAGCAAACGTTGTGAAAGCAGTGAGCAAACAAGAGATAGCCGAAAAAGCTGAACTAACAACCACAACCTTAATTAATGTAATAGCGTTTGCAGCAGGAGTTTCATGATGATTTTTGAACGACAGGTGACAACCTAAGCGGTTCATACATCTGGGCTGAATATAATAATAATAATAAGCTTTATTTCTCACTAAAGAAGCACATTTTTTATCGATATATTTTTTAATGGCAAACGCTCCTAGCTTAAACTCGCGAATAACAGATAGACTTTTTTAGAGTGTTGAGAATTAATAACGGGTAGTACAAAGCTTTCATAGAAATAGTAAATTTATGTGAAAGTGAATGTAAAAATGTTTTAAAGCTTTAATGTACGACGTTGAAAGAGGGCAGCAGTCGTAATAAAGACAATGTCAGGCCGGTTGCCGGTTGTATTGTGAGAAGGAATGGCAATATTCTGGCGATTATGTTAGACCGTCGACACCTTAGGTATTCATATATTAATGATTCATAGTTTATTGAAACTGATTTCTTATTTTCGTTATAAACATTAACCTGTGCATCACCTGTCTTATCAACGCTCGATTTCAAATATTGCCCTCCTACTGCTGTCCTACACGCGTCCTACAGGTGTGATACACGCGGAGAACAATGATGCTAGTGGAGTACTGCATGTCGGGCCTTCTGTAATTGAGCGTGCAGCCGCCTTCGACCGACGTTTTCTTAAAAATCATCAACCATCGTGCGCAACGAGTTCGTGGGCACACTCAGGTAGCTCAACGCAACAGCAAACTACTGGAATGTTAAGGAAACCACCGGAAGTCACCGCAACGCAAAGGTCGAAGTCTCGACGAGCATCGATGGGCGATGAGCCAAATATTCTATTGGATGGCCGAGAAGTAGAAGGAGCTGTCATGCACAAAGGTGATCACAAAGGATCGTCGATTGGTGTACCGCTTGATCATTGCCCTCCTTCTGTCGATAATCCGCTGGTGCCCTGGCTTGTGGTTCATTGTTGTTCGATTATAGAAAAACGCGGTTTAGATGTGCTTGGCATTTACCGAGTACCGGGTAATTCAGCCGCCGTACAGCATCTTATGGCAACTGTTAACAACCAGAGTTTGACGAAGGAGAAAGGTGGCACTAGTGTGCCAATTAATGTAAAATTAGACGATCCGCGATGGGCGGACGTAAATGTGGTTAGCTCTCTTCTGAAATCATTTTTCCGGCTATTACCGGAGCCACTGCTAACTGGAACATTATATCACCATTTTATAGCAGCCGACAAGATTCCAGACTGTGGACATCGCCTTGCCGTTCTTCATTCTTTAGTACACAAGTTACCGCCAATCCATATGGGAACTTTGAGATTTTTCTGTTCTCATCTACAACGTGTTGCTGCTCGTGCAGAAACCAATAAGATGGACTCGCGTAATCTCAGCATCGTGTTAGGACCAACACTTGTAAGATCTGGGTCAGGAATAGGGGTGGCCCAGAGTTCAATGTTATCGATGATATCTGATATGCGTCATCAGTGTCACCTTACTGAGACATTTGTCAACTACGGGGACTATCTCTTTACAGAGTAAGTACTACCTTAATAGTCCTTTTTTTTGCGGGTTTTGTTTTTGTTTGGGGTTTCTAGTATTAGCAACAGTCGTATGAGGAGTGGTTATTCGGTTGTTTCGAGGATATTGGCACACTAAGTGACAAGCAAACAAAAACACGCAGGCCACAAATTAGCCTTAGCATGCCCTCGTTTATAGGTCCATTGGGCCACCGTAACATATGATATTTCTTGAGACATCCCTCATTTATCGGAACACCCTCGCCCGTTCCGGATTAATTCTTTAATAGCAACCACACCGTAGGGAAACAATACGAACTTAACACCAGTTACTGCAAAAATCGAAAAAATTAACTTGGTTAGAAAGAAGTATCTGATCATGTCTAGAGAACCCCTGCTTCGAACGTCTATTGTGCCGGACCCTTCTTCTTCACCTGGAAAGTGTGTTATCCATTAAAGCATCGGTCTCGTATTTTTCTTAGCTAAATAGCGTCTATCTGTTTCCTCTGAATTCATTGTCCAGTCGTCTTGTTGTTTTTTTAACCTGTATTCACACTTTCACAGGAAGTGTAGCCATTTATCTGTTATATTCATTTCGAGAAATTAGGTTTTCTGATCTAAAATAGGGGCAACATATGTAAGTAGTGAATTTCATTCTTAGCAGCAAATGATAATTTAAAATAAGTGCTGCTTGGGACACTTGCGCAAGAAGCAGTTTACTTTTAGTGCGCTAGCTTATTGTAAAATATTCAGCTTGCACCAATGACCAACAACTTTTAGCAAAAGTACTTCTAATTTTACGTGGGCTGGAGGTCATGTTTTCCTTTTCAAACGGGCAAGTGCAACGCCTATTTGCTGTTAACCCTTTTTCATATCCAAGCCTTAATGCAACGTTGAGGCTGCATGGCTCTTTCCTATTTGCTATGTTTTCGCAAAAAATTCTGGTAAGTTTTCTAAAACAGTTACTGTTCTTCCAGAACATAACCCAATCTCCCTACTAGGTAGAGTTTTCTTAATTCTTTCTATAGAGCTATGTCGAATTCATGATGGTAAATCTTAAAAACCTTATTTTTGGGTTGACTGTTGCAATTTTTATGTAGGCATTTATTCGAGCTCCCGAATTTTCAACTCCAGATAATTAAAATCTGTCTATCGATTTAGTAGGGATCCTACATCGACTCCTACTCTGCCTGCACTTGTTGATACGAGACCATTGCTTTCATCATCGCCAGCGAATTCGATTTCCATTATGGACAATGGTACAAGTCTATACAAGTCGGGATCACCATTGTCAACAAAACTCTCGTTACTACCAGGTACACCAGCGCCAATACTCTCCGTTAAGCAAAAAATTCATTCGTTCGAATGCGGCAAGCCTCCAGTGCTCGAAGAGACTGCGCTTAGTACAACTTTAACGAAATCCTGCATGTTATCAAAGATTGAGGAATCAGCCTATACATCACCATCATCATCAGTTACTATTGAAACAGCAATCCCAAGTAAACTTGCTACGCAATACAAGCGACAGGTGCATAAGGATAGACACCGGCAGCGATCCGGAGTAGGCCATGAACTGGGTATGTTCCTTCAATTCTGTTTATTTTCATAAAGATTCTTCGAATACTGTACAGTAGTGGCTAAGGTTTTGCATCTTCTGTTCTCCGGCTGCATAAATTTCTGATACACACTTATTGATATATAGACTATGCTAAGGTAACGCAGTCCGTGCACAATTTAGGCTACAAAAGCTCTTTCTCTCGTTTGCCGTAACAAAAGTTTAATCTATATTTTTCTAATATTTGTGTTTGTTATATCTCAGTAATGATACATTCGTACCTTTTACTGGTATTTTTCGTCAGCTTTCAACTTCTTAATTGTGCAATACGTTTGTAAAGAGACTTATTTATTAAACTATTTTTGCTTATTCGAATAAAATTAGAAGCTCCTGTATGTGGAGCGAAGATCTGCACGAGCCGAAAAGTGATACTAGGAACAATAACAAAATCTAACGGATTACGATGGACAGACCAGTGTTAAATACAATTCAGCAGGGTACCGCAACCTTCAACTAAATTTTGTACAGCTTGGATGCAGTCTGAGGCCATTTCAGAGATGGAGAACTTGTCAGTGGAACAACTTCTTTAAGGGTTTCGGGAATGTACAATACACAGGAGTTACCGGTGATTAATGGTGTTTAGTGCGAAACTCACAGATACACCGCATGCTGCCCCTAAGGGTCGAAGCTCAGTTTGACGCATCATCGAACACTTTTTTTTTATCGATTTAGCAATAATCATGCTTTCTAAAAAGGAAGCGGCTCAGGTCAAATGATTGAATCACCTTGTAATGCTGAATACCTGTATATGATGAAAATTAAGCTAGAATAAAAAGTAGTATCGGTAAGATAGCTTGCAGTTTGGTTGACCCAAGCTCATGATACTTAGTTTAGTGTGGACCGTACATGTTCCTAATTCACAAGCATCCAGCTAAATCCGCTAACTCAATTCATGCTTTCACTAGTTTAAAAAGCACATTTGGGAAGATGTTGGGCGTTCGACTCGTTTCGACAGGTAGCGTCAAAGCTCGTGGAAAAGGCATCACATTGTTGATTCCTTCCAGATTTTGTTTAAAGCTATGAGTGATTTTCGAGGCATTTCGAAATGCCACAAATGCTGGCACTGTTTCTGGCGAGTGATTTAGCGATATGATAGGCGCCTGTTGCAAGCAGAACCTGAGGCCGCAAATCTTTATCTATCCAGAGCAACATAATTAAAGCTGAGCAGAATCGACTAAAAAATACAAAGACAGTTTCAAAATCTATCGCTAAGCCTTGCGTTCAGACTTGCGTGTCTGTTACAATGTTTGACGCAAATGTAAAATAGTAGATATACATGCGCTACTGTCATTTTGCGTCATAATTTCCATTGACCGCCCATGAGTAATATGCAAAAATCGCATTACATAGCGGAACGAACAGCTCCAACTGCACTAGGCAAAGGGAAGGTTGATGAAGAAGACGAGTCCTGTTTGAGTCAAAAGAGCTAGTATAATTAACAAGCCATGAAAATTTATTTGGTGCTTTACAAAGATTGACCTAAGTGTCACATTTTATTATAAATTATATTAAAGTAAACACAATCAACGCATTTCGTAATTCTCGGTTTTTAAAAACGCGTGATTAGACCATAGCACTAAAACTACCTAAGTTTCTAATTCAATGCAAGGATACATTCGTTAAGCCAAGAAAATTCTCACAGCACGAACTGCAGAAATAATCTGCCATATATAACACTTTATGTCGATAGTAAACGTTGACATTCACTGAAATGGACTATTATAGTCAATAGCCTATCCTCATAGAAAAAAGAAGATTTTCATTAACAACATACATTTTTTAACCGTTTCCTATTATCTTGGATGTTAAAATATACTGACGATACGTTTGCCAAGCCGGAATAACAAAGCCTTTATAGAGGTTTATGTAAACTCTAATGGTTTACCAATGAAATGGTATAATGTGGTGTTTCAAACAAGCGTGTAAGAACTATTCTCCAGGGTAAAATCTAGCCTCTCCAAGAGGAAGGGATGATTCCCCAAGGGACAACGTCAGTCAGCCATCCACTTGTCCGTCGAACTAGACCATAAAGAACGGTAAAAAATTTTCTTAGAGGCGGCCTGCCAAATGTAACGTGCACGGAAGGAGGTAGAAATGGTGGCCAGATAAAAAATGAAAAGGAGGCAGAACACGAGACTGTACGGATTACAGCCTTACGGAATGGCTTATATGCAAACATGCAACCAACCTTATGAAGGTCAAAGCCTTGGAATGTTTAGAAACCCAGACAAAGCTAGCTCTTTAAGCCATAAACCGAAATCTTGTGCTAAAGCTAGTACTGGTTATAACTGGGTCCGGCGAGACGTAAATTCGAGAGATTGGCGCTAAAACTAACATGGATTCTCGAGCCGGGGGATCCATTGATCTCAGTCTGAGTCAGAAATTACAATCGTACCGGCACAACTGTTGAAAGATGCCTAGAGTGTAAGATTGAGGAACTCAAATTAGAAGGAGCCTAGCTGGCAAGAAGAGCAGGTCCGACTGCGGTGACTCGAGAATGTCCCAAGTGCTGACTACCATGGACTTAGGTTAGGTTAGGTTAGCTGTTAGATTAGGTTAGGTTAGGTTAAGTTAGGTTAGGTTACTTACTTCTGGTTCATGAGCTAAACAGTAACAATTTCCGATGCTTACAAGAAGCACAATGCTGTGTTCATAAACATAAGGTCATTCTCGTCCAAAGTGATACTGTTCTATTTCACTTCTATACACATAGGTAATAACCTCGTAAATCGTATGCTAACGTTAACCGAAGATTTAGGGGCAATAGTAGAATGTGACAATGCTGCATGTATTTTGTATAACCTACATCCGTAACGTATCGACGGCAAGACGCTAGGCTTACCAGTAGGAAGTACAACGGAACCCAAAAAACAATATTCATTAATTCTCGTGCCGATCAGGAACTGTTACAATTTATGCGGATCTTTCCGACGCACCGCAAACATGGCGTTTCTCCTTCGCATTGTGCTATGTAACGACCACCGAGTGTCAAACATTCCGAACCCGACCGGCTAGACCCATTCTTTAACAAATCCCTGTAGTTCTGAGTCTAGACATGATGAGTAAAACGATCTGCAAAAACTCAAGTATACAAAAAAGAATATTCTACAATAAAACTTAATCGAATAAACCGGAAAGTGTTCTTTAACAATTGTTAAGATGTAAACGTTATGTACGAAGGTGGAAGATACGGTTCACGATTAACGATGTTGCAGCCATATTTGTCACTAGAAAAATCGTAATCAGCTTAAGTTGCTGCCGAAAGACAACTAGTCACAACAAGAACGCAGCATTCTGCAAGGCAGTGATCAAAAAGCGATTTAAAATTATATTCATAAACACATTCATTAAGGTTCCTTAAACGCTTTAACTGAACCCTAAAGACTGCATTCGAGATAAATAAGACATTTCTACTCTTGCCTCTACAGTGGTGAGCGTAACGATACGTGATACCACGGAATGAGACATTTATTTGGGAAACGGCTAAACAGTGGTAAAGCATATTCGCTGCCTAGTTACAGATAGTTTCAAGTGTACATTCGTAAAATAAGGACGCCAAGTGATTCGTGCAACTCTCACATGCAACTCTCGCGTGTGCATACACGTGACTTAGGATAAGCAGTACTGCACAGCTTTCGATGAGGCAGAAGTTGGAAGAAAGCTAGATAGAGCCGCCGCCATGGTAAATTGGATACCTCAGAATGAAGAGAGCTAGATACCAATGTCCTACGTGATAGAGGCTATGATGACATCCAAAAAGGAACTGGAGCAGAGAACACAAGCGCTAGCTGAATGAAAAAGGTCCCGCTAAAGTCAAAGTAATATACAATAATAAATATTAATAAAGGACAAAATGCACACACACAAGAATGGAGACAGAAAAGCGTGTGTTTTGTAGGTGCTATAATTATAAAGTGCTAGCTAAAGTCAGCGCTTCCGTGACCAACATCTGGTTGTGGAACCTGTTCCCCGCAAGCGAAACAATTTATGCACAAAATTAGGAAAAAAGAAAGAAACATAACGAGCTGGGTAACTTGACTAAGATTAAGTTCTTACGTAACCGTCATTTCGAAGCTCCCATTGAAGTTAAGACTGATATTGGTTCATTGTTAGAAGAATACCATATAAATATGTAAGCGTTTTTGAGAAAAGACAATTAGGTCGTTTTCCGTTAGACCAATTTTTTTTTAGCTCTTAGAAACATAATAAGCACTTGTGCATGGGTCGCTTTGCTACTCTGTTTCAGAACATTCACCCGGCTGATTTTTTCCGAAAAGTACTTTGTATTATACGTTCACTTTCTTTCTTGTGAGAAACACAGGAAAAACTAATTAATCAGTTAGTTAATTCTCTCTAGTCTAACTAACTCTTTCTCTAACTGGCTATTTATGAAAAAAGCAATCGCTCATAACATAAGACACAACGTACATTGCTTATGGCTAACCGTGGAAGATTCGCCCATTATTTTGTATGACTAATACGCGATCCTAAAATCACCCAAAAATATATCGTTCAATGGGACTTGAATCAGAAAACATACACAACGGTTGTTCAGAAACAAACTGAAGTTGGTTTTAGTCTTCGAATTGTCTTTTTGGATTTTAAGAAAATGAAAGACAGCCGCAAAGTGATTTCTTATATATATTAAACAAAAAGCGGGGCAAAGTCCATTTGTTTTGTAAAAAGAGAGTTTTTATATATCTTATACATCCGTCCCTAGGGTTAGCTGCCTATAGACCGGGAGTCACGCGCGGTTTAATTTAGTTTAAGCTAAATTTAGAGCCAGTCCTCTTGGCGCCAGAAACTGATTATTTTCAATCTTCGTGTAGTGCATCTTTATACCATTTCGATATATGCGCTAACCTCAACTACCCACGGCTTGGAGAACCGGGCTGAACATTATGACTATTCGGTCGTGATATAAATTCAGTAATGCAAAGACCATAGCCTACTTATGTCACAGAAGTTTGAAAATTCCAGGAACACCCTGGGCGGACCAATTTACAATCGGTTTATAATGGCTGATGTGTCTCTCATTGCCATTGACGAGACAGCTGACCATTGTCGATAACTGCGGGGGTATCCACAGAAGGTTTTCGAAATAGGCTTTAGCGCTGGAATAAGAGAACGTGCTGTGGCATCGGAGAGGGGCTAGAAAGTGTAGTCTATGAGATCGAGTCCAATTTATTCATTTTGCAAAAATTTAACAAAGTTATACGTGTTTTAATCATTCAATGACGAAGTTCACAGTCTGATGTAAAATTCTGTTACCTATAAGTAGTGTTACGTCATAAAAATTGTACCCTGGTTAAAGTCACCAGTGAGGAATTCTTTAAGGGAATCTTTGGTGACTTTAATGAAGGTAAAACTCACGGAGTCCCCTTGCACTCACGACAATGGCTGAAATTCAAGATCGAACTTATTACATACAAATCGCTGATAATAATTTATAATAAAAGAGAAGACAACAATTAGAAGTAGCCTAGCTTCGCAATGCCAGAACGTTTTACTTAGTTAATTATAAGCTAATACATTTATTATAAATTGGATATGACTATTATCGTTTCAATATGTAGAAAATTACATGTAAAAAAAGCGTGTAGTAAAATACTTTACCTCTGTTTCCAATGATCTAGAAATACGCACAATTGCAAGGGGCAGAGATTAACCCTTACTGTTTTTGGGACGAACTTGATTCGAGTACGTGTAGTAAGCTTCATCTCGAGAAAACGCCGTGTTACATTCGCGGCAAGGCCAATGCTAGGCTCCGCATCGTTCATCGAACTTTACAACTTACTAAATACGACAGATGCCGACATCCCGTAGGCAGAAATAATGTATACATAAGTTTAAAAACAAGCTTTTATGATGATAGTGCATAATATATATATATATACTCCAGGGTCGTCGACTGCCGGGAATTAAACCAGTGATCGCAAAACTGGCTTTGTTCATGGTTTGCCTAGCGATTGCACCCAAAAAAGTTCGCATTAGACACTTACACAACGTCGCTATTGTTGTTCCCCCTCGCTGTACTCTTATTAGGAAATGCTATCTATATCAAAGTCCTCCCAAAAGGAGCTGAAACATACGGTGGCGAAGCTCGCTAACTTCACTTAAAGACTACGAAGGCTACCTTTACGTCATTAATATTTCTGGGCCGCACATATATTATTAAACAGAAATATCGAGTGCATTATAATTTAACAGCATTTATCATCTTATTAGCACTTCTTAAAAAAAACTATAGACTTTATTCTGTATACTTATGTTTGCATTGATTTTGTTTCAGGCCAAACTGATCCTATCGAATCTCCAAGAACATGCGAGGCATATAATAATCCCATGTGTTTGTCTTACCATGAGAGAAGTGTGCTGGCGGCTGAGAAAGCTAAGATTTTTGAAGAAGAAACACGGGCTGTTCTAGAGAAAAAGGCCTTCAGGAGCCAGGTTATAGTTTCAGGGACTGGAAACTGGATTCAGGAGCAACGCATGAGCCGGGAACAAACTGAAAGAATATGGCAGGAGGTCAAACGCCAGGCTACTTTGCTTACGAGGGATAACAGCGATGGTAAGTTCAGCGCCGGTGTTCAGGATAACGGAGATTAATATTATCATTTCATGGAGGGAGTATTGTACGAATGACAGACTAAGTGGAGTTAGTGTCAATGTGCTGTTATTGCGATTGCCACGCCACTAGTGAGGTCTACGTTGCTTGCAGCAACAAGAACTACCTCGTCCTTCTTGCAAGAACTACCTCGACAACTTTCGAAAAATTAGACCTTTGTCCCAAGTCACATATTTGAAACAAGTCACATGTTTTGTCATCAATGTCAGTTAAAGCCAGCCATTAACCCGAAAACTACTTCGTATGAAATCGATTTGTAATTGTCAGAATTAACATAACGGGATGTTTTCCAGCAGTTGTATAAAATAAACTGTTTTCGCTTCGAACAGTGGTTATTTAAGAAACTTCAAAATACACATATCTTCAGGATTTAAGAATAACTTCAAACAGAAAGATAGATTTAAAAGGGTTCTTTATGGATAACCTTTAGCTATACTTTCTATAATGACTTTCAATACTTTAAAATTATAAATAAAACACATCCCAAAAACGTTGTTGAGCCAGTATAGCTGGCTGGGTTCCATTGACCTTGTTTGCCTTGAAAAGTGTGATAATAGCCTCATGTTTCGTTAGAGACCCTACATACACGCCAACCTCCCTTGAATCGTTCCTGCATAGTTCAAAACTGAATGGAAACATCGTTTTAACGCCAATGCTGTCGCCCATTTGCGGAGGGTTCATTTACTGCCATACGTTCGCGCAGTTTGTCGCTCGTCTTACTTCTTTTTAACGTAGAAGCAAGCTACAGCTAGAGGTTCGCCAAGTTACATTATAAATCAGATATCTCTGCAGCAAAGGTAATACCTCAGAGTAGTTGTCTAAGGTCTGATAAATACCAATGAAGCTCTTGTATGGGTTACATCAGCGTCTATAGTAGACAAAATGCCAGATGGATGGCAATAAAGGTTTACAGTACGCTAAGCAACGTTCGTCACGCCGTCTTGGTTCCAGGGTACTTATCATCATTAATAATTTTTCTGTATCTGTATTTTGATTTCCGTATCATTTAAACTACTGAACTACAACTCGGGTCGAAACTGCTTCATGCTAAACCTAGTTTTATGGTCACATCCTGAGTTTTCAAATAGAAATATTCAATAACTACAAATTTTCATTTGGCCATGTTAAAAAGCGAACCTGACTCGTTTCGTTTGTTTTTCTATAGAATCTTAAAATAGTGATTGTTTTTATTCTGCGTCATGCTGCGTATCCGAGACTATTTTTTAATACAGCACAATTCTTTCATATACTTGCCTTTAATTAGTAGCTGCTAACCATTTTTATATAGTTATTCCCAACTATTCAAGTAATTCCTTACTTGAGAAGATAGTATATGATAAAACTGTCCAAACATCTGTGGCATCCCAAGGTAAATCTGTGCTTTGCGAAAGAAAAAATAAAATGATGTAAGTGACTTCCCACGCAATGTACACAAGGGAGTGTTCCCTCGGGCACTGACCAGTTAGAACCCAACGTACAAGCCCACAAAAATGCATATCTAAGCGTAATCGACAATTCATTAGTACTCAGCACAGAGCGAACGTCTAATGCAATGTCCACAAGTTCCCCTTAGTACCCCGCCGTTTAAGTATTAAAGCGGTTCCCAAACGATTTAAGCAAAATGTGTACAGTGAGCCACGAAAATGGCTAGGACCAGATCCTGGCAGCTTTCTGAACTAGCAGTTGGCAATACAGAAAAATTCCAGCATCGACCAGGTTGAGTCGTTAACTCTATGTGGTAACGCTGCATGTCGCGTCGAGAAGTGACCCTAGCGTACTCAGAGAGGACGGCTTTCAAGAAACTCTCGTTTGCGAAGTGGCATCTTCAACTTAAGTGTCGAATCTTTTAATACTTGAAAATTCTTCAGAGGAGGCATTTTCTGCTGCAGGAAGAGCATAATTTGCTTTCTAGTTGTCGCAAGGTGAGGATAAATCTGTTTCAATGCTGACGGAATATAAGATCCGAGTCACGCACCTCTAAAAACGTCTTCCTGGCCTGGTAATATTTCCTGTATCCATTCGCAGTTCCCTAGCTCCATGATACGTCCATTACATTCATAATGAACTCTATGTAATCTAACCGGTCAAGATACCGTTCTCTACAACAGATGGTTTCAGTGGCTGTATGAAATTGCCTATAATTTGACTTGCGCAATGTATTCAGTCGAAACTCGAAGTAGAAAATGTAATGCCCCCTAACTGGATTCGCGACGAGTCTAATAAAGCCTTCTTTAATGCTTCTTTAATGAAGAGTCATGTTTTGCTAAAGTGGTATCCGAGCGACATCCTTCATTTGGCAGAAGCGAACTGTTGCATCAATTTTAGCTTTCGCGAACCATCTCTCGTAATATCTACAATTTATTTGTTAAATTATTAGCCGTGCCGGTCGGCGTTAGCGTCATTTGAAAGCTGAGATTTGAGAAAAGCCAACACTGTTCAAATGTCCTACCTCAGATAGACTACCTTGAAAATAAGTAGAATTTCTGCAGTGACGTTCGCTATAGTTTATTACGATAAAGGCACAATGTAAAGATTAAGTTCAGACGCGTTATCGGAGGTAACGGCTCCAAACTGGTTTTGTCGCTTTTGTTTTAGAAATCTGGATGTGAAGGACGCTTCTCGTAGTAGTCAACCAATTAGGAAGAAAGTTTGTGAAATTAATGCTGCAATAAGTTGAGCAAGATCAACAAATGAGTATCGCCAACGAGCTTAACATTCATCACTACCACAGTTTTATGATTTATCTAAAAAATTCGAGGAAAGATCGACGTTTGGGTGCAACGTGAATTGACGCAAGATAAATTATTCCGTCATAATCCCACCTGCGTAACTCATTGAGATTAAGCCAGAGAGATTCAAAAGCGGTTAATCTGACTGATGAAAAATGCATGACATACGAAAATATTATGCGAAAAAGGTCATAATCACAGCACAAAAAAGCTCCACATCTTTTGTGACGAATTGATTGACGAGGGAGAAGGTGATGCTAGATGTTTGGCGGGATTGGAAAAGCATCGTGCATTGTGAGTTAACAAAATAATTGATCCGAGTTTCCACGGTCAACAATTAAAAGGACTGCAACAAGCTATTAAAAGAATCGACCGTAATAACTCAGCAAAAATAGTGTCGCTTTTTACCATAACAACGCGTATTTACCTACCTAGCAAAAATTGAGAGGATTTGAATGGGAAATTTCAATGCACCCGTCTTTAACCCAGATTTTGCACCATCGGGCTATTTTCTGCACGACTTTTGACCGTAGCATGTTACTGACGCTGCTACTTTGATCTTCCTGAAATGTATCCAACGCATTTTTCGCGGTCTGCATTAATACTCGCATGTGGTATTCGCTGATGACTAATCTGTATTTGATATGGCCTATTTGATATGAAATCCATCGTTTTTTTAGCCGACATGCACTGGGACGCCCTCAAGATGTTGTGGAGCAACTGAGAAATACTCAAGATAAACGAAGTCATTCTTAAATAATCGAATTGCTGAGCTCTGTTCCAGTTGGTCAAACGACAAGAGTGGCCTAAGTTGATAATTCTTATGTTCTTAACAATTATTTGCCTGCTGGAGGAGATGGAAAGGCGTGACCTGTCAGGAGTTCCTAGTTTATTAGTCGACGATTTTATCTCACTTGTTGTTACGAGTCTGCATCATCTTCGACAAGCATTGATAAACTTAAATTTCGCCACAATAGTCTATTAAGTAATATATTTTTTCTGCGGCTCTATGATAAAGTGACGAGTACCTTATCTCTAATTCATTCAGATTTTGTTTTGTCTATATTTGCCAACTAGTGCAGAGCAATTCGGTAGACATACTACACAAAGGGCGCAGAAGATTCTATTAACTGTCTCAACGGTTGAAGACCCATAAAAGTTCTTATTACAGATGGACTTAGAAGGTGCACTTCATGCCCTTATATAATAATATTTCACGGTGAATGAACAGACCGAGCTTACTGCACAAAGCCAGTCTACTTTGTACGCACTCTGGACCTTCAAGCTAAGAACACATTTGTCTACTGTTGTTGTTGTTATTTGCTAACAAAACGACGATAAAACCTCATTTGCGAATACAAACCAGGGATTATCAGGATTAATCGAGATTTCCACATAGTCAGTGTGATGACCAACCCCACTTTGAGAAATGGTGGACGAACACACCGACACGATTCTACTCGGTACGTGATACGTTTTCTATCAATACTCAGTAACCACGACCTACGGGAAGATTGCCGTTTTTAACGATGTGAAGACCTTTGATGTCAGTAGGTACATATGACCTTGCCCTATACACTCATGTTCTAATTTCTTACCTTTTTCTGTCTTTCTTTTATGAAATATTTTATATGTAATGTTATAGTTGCTATTATACTAGCATAATATATATGTACTCGCGCAAAATGAAATGTTCAGATTTGGAAAATATTTACCAGACTGTTTGCTTTAGTGGACATGCTTTTATATGTTACCTTTGGTACCAGAAAAACGCCAGTCCTTACAGCAAACCCATTGCGATTAAAAATAGTCGCTGTCGGAATTCGAGTCAAGATTGGTTATAATCCAATGCAATCCACATGAGACGAACTCCACAAAAATTAAACTTTCTTCTTTCTTGGTATCGGTGGTCTAAGTTATCGCCAGTTTTCATGTGGCATTCATCGAAATGGTCCAAAGAGCCATTTTTGATTTGCCACCTGAGTCTTTTTGATATAATCTTTATATATAAACGGCCTTTTTGACAAGCAAAATATCAATGGCTGATTGGGTCACCCAGATTAGCTTAAACAATAAGTATCTTCAAAATCTTTTTTGAGCCATTGTATCTTTAAAACCATTAGCCTGCTCTCATCCCAAAATTAGATCTACTGGGGTATTTTGTGGACAGCGCATTTAAGCGACATCTAAGGTTTACACAACTAATAGTTCTAGATGCACAACAACCTTTAAAAGGTTCATTTCGGATTAAAGAGGAAACGTTTTGGAAAACAAGTGTTGATTTAAATGATGAGTCAAAGATACATTTGAGCGTCAGAAAGGATACGCACGTGCAAATAGTTTTATGGAAATGTATAGTTTTGTTTGTAACAAAAACGTATGTAGCGTAGAATATTTTTTCCGATTTGGAAACTTACTTCACAAAGCCTTATTCCTTGGTGGTCATTGAAAGTACTCTCAGGAGAATTATATATTCATTTTCATTAATGCATCTTATTATTGCCGAAATGTTCTGTATGACATCTATAAATCTTCCAAACAAACGTTTTCGTCATCATTAGCCGAAATAACCACTGGCCTTTGTTATCACGGTCGTATGCTGTAAACGATTCATCCCACAAGCTAGATAACAAGCGCCGCGACCAGTTCTGTAAAACGAATTCAGTCTTGTGGCAACACGTTACCATAGCTGCTTGATCTAGGCCTGTAATATCGTATATTTGACTACTCTTACCAGTTTTATTTCACCCTTTTTTTCTTTTTTACCGATCCGGTAGACGCCTCTTTCCAAATTATGAAGAACAAAATTGTTTGCAAAGTGCAGATCACAGCGACTGCAGAATCGTAGTATAAATACGACACGCGTTAGATCGTTCTTGGATAAACTCGGCGATTAAAAGGAACTTGTAATCCAGAGCTGCCATTGGCGTGTAGGGAATACGACGTTCGGTTTATGCACTTTGATCAGTTTTAACTACTTAAGCTAAGCTGTGAGTTTAACAAAGTCTGTATAACCAATAGGGAGCATGGTCAAAAGAATAGTGTGAGTATGTCGGTAAAGGTCAAAACTGTGATCCAGCTAACAGCGGAACCCGTTCTAAGGGTTTTGCACTAGGCTAGTTCAATAATCCTTTGCACCCAGCCATTAACAAGCGTCAACTGTGTCGAGTCAATTCAATAAGTTTGTCGAACTGCTTATCTATCATGTGTACCAGTAAACATAAAGCTCGTTTGTCGCTTGGTTGGATTGCAGATAACATAGACAAGGAGAACCAGAATATGGTCGATTCTGTCTCTGGATTCTACCCGGTAACGCCGAGTGGTGCAGTTCCAATTTCCGTTAGTTCTACTGGCGGTCACGTGCCGAACGGAGAAAGGTGCGACTCAGCTGAAGAAGAAACCGTGCCAGTCGATGGCAATAACGATGCTGAAGAGAGATTGATAATAGGAAAATCGTTACTAGCCACTGGCATTAGTAGTAAAGGTGACGGAGAAATGGTAGTGCTTCGAGCTAGAAGTGGTCGAAATCTTGGACAGCAGCAACACGCTAATCGAAGTAATCGGAATGGTGTTGTTTATAGCCCAAATTCGTCCAAAATACTCAAATGTAAGTGAACCTTTGATGAAAGCTCAGATGTACCACGACTGTAAGCTCTAATTCCTTAAACGCGCTAAAAAGTCTAGGTCACGTCCTCCTTTAAACCTAAGTCAGTTGAAGTCCAATTCTATACTTACATTACGATTAATTGCTTAAGCAACACGGTATCGCCTGTACAGACAACCGTTATGATTTGTAGAAAATTACATACATTGCAGCATACGCCAGCTTTTGTAGATTTCGATTAAAATTTCAATCAACTTCATCTCGTGTACCGTTCCGTAATTTTCAAATACAACTCACAAACTTTGTAACAGATATGTTCTTCAACATAACCAGCTCCTACCATAATTATCCGCCACTAAATTTTATCTCCAATTTAAGATCTGAACCACTTACTAACAATTTTGAAAGTACCTTCTTAAACCCGTAAATATCATTCTAGTACTAATTGTTCGTCGAGTGATATTAGTAGGTGAAAGTTATCGCTAAAATGTGCTACATATAAAATATTCCAGGTTTTGCTCTGGTAACATGCACAAGGTACCAAAAATGCAGCGCCCAACACAATCCTCAAAAACCTTGAAAAAGTTCAAAAAGACTAAAGGTTGGGGCTTACCTAAAGCCATACTTTTTTCTCTAAATAATATATATGTATATCACTATGGCATTTTGATAGAACCCTTTAATCTGAATTCTAATCCAAAAAAGATGTTTGGGTATCGCCCGTGAAAATGTCTTGGTTTCCAAGATTGAAATCCGTCTAGGGCGGAGAGGTTGGATAATACCTCACCTTTATTTAATTAAAAGAATTGCTTATTTTCAATGAACAAATAGACTACTGTATTCTAAACGTGTTAACCGAGGTATTTTCTAGTCTTATGGGTTTAAGCAAAGCTGATGGGTCAATTCGCGTGTGCTAGTTGTCGTCACCTTTGACATCCTGACCAACGGTTTTCTTTTATGAGAAGGCGATCTGATAAAGCAGATTTTTTCATTTTAAGAAAACTTCTTATACGATGTTTTTTCCTTTTGTTTTATTTATGACTGAACATAATGATTTCAAAGAATGTTCACTACATCTGCATTCTATATTTGTTCTCACGCTTAACAAGTAACACCTATTTTAGTTAGTTCTTTGGCAAAATCTTATTTGAACTTCCCACTTTTGAGGTACTATTCATAAGCTACCAGAATTTATATAGAAATATCTCGAAATAAGGTAATATCTTAAAACGCTAGCAACCAGGGAAAATTTAACTGCAACAGCATATGCCTCTTGAGTTTACTGACAGATTATCTTGCTACACTTTTTCCTTAATATATGTATTGCACCGAACCCGCCGGTATACATTTTATGCAACAATTTGCTATATATATATATATATATATATATAATACTAACATTATATACAATATACCGCCTAAACCCATGGAAAAACGTGCCGTGTTAAGGTTCATTATCGGCCTGAAGATGCTTTTGTTCATTAGCTCAGGTCATTTTTTTCGACAACGTAGGTCCGAATTCATATTTCTCAGCTATCAGATTATAATGAACGTTTCCTTTTTTTTGTTGTTTTTGTGTGTGGGAATGAAGATCACGTTATGTACCTTTTAGCTCTAAGCCAAGCTCATTAAATTAGGCCAAATTAATCAAAAAGCGTTGACTTTTAAACCATAAGGGACAGAAGATGTATTGTTTGCACATTAAAGCTAATACACAAAAGATGTGTGCTAGTAATTTGCATTAGCGTGCTATTATTGGCTTCTTCGAGGGCGTCGACGACGGAATTTTCTCCCTCGTCTACGCTTTCTTTAAGGTATGGAAGCATTTGAAATTTGATTTTTATATTTGCCTATTTGCTATTTGAATATATACATAATATATTCTATTAAGGAATATAGCTTATTTTTCATGTTTCTCCTTTAATGCAATATCTTATAAATAGAACTATTTATATTTCAATATTTTAATAAATTATAAATTATTAAATTTAAGAAAAATTAAAATAATTTCTTCTAATCAACATATTTTATTTTTATACTATTTTTTTCTACCTCATTAATTTTTCTTTTACTAAATCTTATTTGTTTAAAATTCTCTCAATTTTTATGAACACGAACTTTTCAATCAGAACTTTAACCTGACAAATATGAGGAACATTGCAGAGTTCTGCTTTCCTCAATCTAGGCCATATACAAAGAGCGACGATGGCATCGTGCGTAATCGATGATTACCTACGAGTGTCCTTTCGCTTACCTAAATTTATAATCTTATCGGATAAGATTATAAACTTAGGTAGCCGCTATATGTAAAGGTTTATTGCATTTGATATATTAACTAAGCGTAGTTTAAATCCAAATTTTTGGACCTGCTAAGTTGCTCTGGAATAGCGAGTGCTTTAAAACGGTTTTCAGCCTGGTTCCGCACAGCGGAGTTGTCTGTCTAAGTAATACTCTCTTACAGTGTCTCTCTAAACATGATATCCCCATATTTCTAACTAGCACTTTTATAGTCTGTCCGGAGAACTGCAACAACTTTAACATGTTTGAGAATAGGACATCATTTTTTTATCAAATCGCGTGGAGAACTGTTGAACCATTGAGTTTTTTATACTAGGTGAAAACCAGATGCCGCTGAATGCAAAATTTGCATCAAATTGGATGGTACACGTAGGCTTAGAATCTTCAGTAGTATAACATATTTCAAAAATTACCTTACATCAGCACTGATTTTAGTCGAAAAAAAAAAATGGTTCCCTTCGTATCTCTGACAAACTACTATGTCCTATAAAACTATAATCCGTGTTCTTTCATTCCTTGGTAATTCTGCTTATTATCTTAGGACTAGTAGTGAATTCACTGTCTCGTAGTAGAGACCTTTCGAGGGCTTTCGAGGGCGTGTCAGACTGGACATTTTTTCCAAAATAAACTCCATTGGGTGACATATCGATCTATTAGCTATAGATCTATTATAGCTGTCAAATGTGTCCTGCAAGAGTACGTGGTAGCAGATCCGCACATAACCGGTCTCTTGCCACTCTGATAGCATATCGTGCTAAAGGTACAGCAGACGTAGTGATCGCGGCCGTTCTTGCTGCCTAGGGAGATGGATGCACATTTACTTCAAACGGCGGATTCGCAGATCTGTTACCTTTCAAGTAGAAAGAGACGTATCTGTTTGACTTTCTTACCAGGGCAAGGCGGTACACATACGTACATACATGTGTACTCTAACTCATATTTCCTTGTTTGAAAAACGGCATGCTACCAGTCGGCGTATTATCTTGTTTACTTTGGCATGGTCCCGATTATAAACAGAAACCACTAAGGACTGGTCGTGACCTTTTAGGACTGGTCCAACGTATTGTCTTTTTTTAAATATGAACTTTTTATGAATCTTTCTAGCGCAACATCAATATTTCTGTCGCCTACCAAGAGCTAATTAGTTGATGGATCGAGATTCATGCGCCGGCTTATTTTAACTGACATTCGAAAGTACCCGCGTTGTTCTATAACAGGAAAGGTAACAGTCGACTTTCTAGAAAGGGAAAGGGTTCTAAAGCTCTTGTCTGAAAAATCCCATATGCGCAAGTCGAAACGCGTTCGGATCGGGCCAGCAGTCGCGCTACGGCTCGGTTTACTAGCGTGTCCATATTGCCAGTACTCTTACCGCTGCTACCGAAGTGAAGCGGACTGATTTTTGGTTGAAACGACTGCCAGTCGTTCAGCTCTTATACGGGCGTGAACGTATATATGTGTATATATATATATATATATATATATATATGTAATGTATATAGCGTGCCTAAAGAGTTGGCGTTTTGTGATGACGGAAAGCTACACTTCGAACCTAGCTCTTTTATCAAACGGGGAGTATATTATGGTGACACTCCGTGAAGCTGAGTAGTTATGTAAATAAACAAAATTGTCGAGCAGCCACTTCATTTATAAAAAATCACTGTAACGGGGCTTGTGGAGCTAAGGTATCATCAGGTCCTTTTTCTTAAGAAACGATAATATAGCACCAATACCCAGTAACAAGTTCTATCATGACACGTTGCAAGCTATTTTGTGGCCCAAAACTGAGACAGTTGGTACGAACAGCTCCTGGTTTCAACAAAATAGGGTAAGACGTCGCATAGCACGTGTGTAGATCTTGTGATTTGATTTCTTCATTTTTTTCGTGTGAGATGATTTTAAAAGGGTCTGTGACACAACGCCGGGTAGACGAACGTAACAATGAAAGCACGCATAGAAGTTTTTTATTCCGGAGCATTATCTGCCGGCAATTTCTTGGGCATTCTACACAGCAATAGAATGAAAAGTTTGTAGCATTAGGATGCAACACTAAGGTGATATTACTCGCTAAAAATATTTTGGTGATATAATTGCGCATGCCATAAACAACGCCTGCAAACATTTAAGTTGTGTTGGATAGTTTAAAAATCATTTTCGTTAATTAATAAGTGTTTCTGAAAGAAATTGAATATCAAACCAGCTAAAAATTGCAACCATTATAAATCTCATCGGCCGAATTCGCCGAATGGTGCTAGACGACCACCAAATTTAGACTATGGGAACAGCAATATTAAGAGAACGTGTTTGTCGTATACTAGCTAAAGATTTAGATGGATGTAGCATTTACCCAGTCAGTGCCAAAAAGAGGTGGAATAAAGACTTGTTGAAACGAGTTTGAGCAAAAAATAAGACTAAGAAGTGGATTAACGTCAAGTTATAGTCGACTCCGGAAACCAAGGCATCGCAAAAGGTAAATCGGCTTCGAAAAAGCTAAGGCTGTTGAAATGAATTATGGGATTGTTTTGTTAACTAGCTTGGAAAAAGGAATGGAGCAGCAGGACACTACGTATCGTTAATTCATTGAAGGTAAAAATAATCGTATTAGATAAAGAAAGTCTTCTTTTACCATGACAACGCGTACTTCAGTGGTCGCGATAGCAAAAATTCATAAACATGGGGTTCGAGTTGACTGACCAAATTTTGGTTTAAGGTTGCTTCAAGGACTGATTTTCATCAAATAAGAAAGTCATCATATTCGTAGACGCATATTTTTCGGATCAGCATGTCACCTACCATTTGAATGGACTAAATGAATGGGAACATCGCTAGAAAGTATGTGTAGACTTACAAGAATATTGTTATTATGAAAAAGCGTAACGGCATTTCGCAGAAAAATTATTTGTTTTTTTTATGGTATTTTAAGTAGAAACACATTGTTACTTTAAGCGATTCGAGTTCTTGGAAGAAACTTACCTTGTTTACTAATTTCCTTCGCTTTTTGTGGCCTTCGTGGGCCGTTTGGACGGTAGGTATGAATCCGTTAACCTGTATTGCATTGATCCAGTTCGATAGAGTTACGCTAAAAGTTGCAGGGTAAAAGGCTTTTTGTCAACGGTTTGTCTGACGCTACAGAAAGCCTCACGTAGCTAAATGTTATCTCAGAAAGGGATGACTTTATTTCTGCATGGCCTTTGTAAATTTTTTGTCATTCCCGTACGATGTTCTGTTCCGTCCCACCAAATCCTACAAGCTGTCTATAATAAGGACAACGAGGATCGTGCAAGAGATGGAAAGATATCTCACAGTATTTGCACAAATAGCTTCCAGTGCCTTGAAAGCACTGGAATTTTATTCGTAAAGTTAGGGAATGCATTTTATAGCAGAAATCATTTTAATTTAACTTGGAATAAACTTGCTAGACTCGGTATTGAAGCCATGATCGAAGCGTATAGCAACGTTGTTTAATAAACGTGCGCGCGGGGATGTCTTGATTTACATTGACGTAAAGCAAGTATCAAATTTTCTTTTAGATGTAGTTTATATTAATAGAAATCAACTATGTTTTTCAATATCCCTTATTCCAATATCGATTGGTACTTAACAGTAGTGCTACCAGTAGACGATTAGTAGAGAAAAAGGAAATATATTAAATGAGACCGGAAACATATTTGGCAACCAAGTATTGAGGAGAGCAACAGCTAATACTGAATCTCGAAAAAAAGCAGACTTCATGTCCGCAGGTGTATTCAGATATTGACTACCGGAACATATCTGTTACTCTCCAGTAATGGCGTTACAACACTTAATTATTCATTATCTGTCAGCACTAAGATGACAACAACCTCGTTAATAACTGATCAGATGTTCTATTTTACCATATGTGTAAAATTATATATATTTTTACTATATGCCCGTCGACTTGATATACCTGCATGTATTCATTTCATCAAAGCCTTTGCTTTTCCAGCTATTATAGGATATATATGGTTCGATTCATATTTAACCGAGAACGGTCCACTTATTGATTTCGCAACTCAAAACTGCTTATGAGAACTTCCCCTAGTCACACTGAAAAGAGATTACTTTGAGGCAACCTTTGGGCAACCTATTTCATGTAAACTCAAGATTTATAACACATGTTGGTGTAGAGGCTTGGCTTTATCCAGCAATCCCCTGATTACTCAACTGAATGTGCTTACCAATCAAAATCCGATGACAGTTTGGCGCTCGTAAGGCAAGTGCCTGTAGAATAGCTTAAAATATTTGCTAAATATATATACGTATATAATCCAGTAAAACTTCAGCCAATCTGTTAGGTATGAAGAAACGGTCTTTCGTGCTCATACTTGAGCAAAAACGAAATTTTGACAATTTATCTATAAATTGTTAAAACTTTGTACTGTTACTTAACTGATATGCGACTATGTCCGTATATGAATTTCAGCAATTGTTCAGCTAGACGATCAAGGTAATCGAAGTGGAACAGAAAACGGCGGCGCTCGACGTAAGAAATCTCGCCTCGAACGTAGACACACCATAGCAGGAAGTCACTCATATTTCCCTCTAATGGGCTCCGGACCAATGCTCAGCGGAACAATGATGAATCTGGGGGACACCAAAACACACCTTTCAAGACCATCAAGCGAACGAAAGCCTCGGCCTCCACGCCATCGAGCTACCACTTAATACAACGAATTAATTCGGTTTATGTTGTCTCTGTACTTATCCATAATCGAAGAATTCTTTAGAGGACCCTGGAGAACAGGCACTCAAAAACCATGCCTTTTACAAACTTGTTAGCAATATGGTGAATTTGTATTTATTGCGTAAAGTAACCAAAATATTATTAAAAACTGACAAACTGTATAGCTTTCTCAGAATTAAAAAAAGTAATTGAATTTTAGTCAAGGTCAATTATCCTGGTATACAAATACTACTGGGTGGAACCAAATTGAGCTTATTGATTGAGTTACTCTTCTTATCCACAGTCGCCTTAAGCTGAGTCTCAAGAGAAAGTCAAAACAAGAAAGTGCTTAAAATCAAAGGTAAATTCCACAGATCCTGTAAACATAAAGACTAGATAACTGAGTAGCTCCTAACTGTTAGTGATCTTGGTGACTAAAAATTTTTGTTTTAGTTTTTCTGCTTTCGAATTTGGTAAGAAAGCCATTTGCTTAGTATAGACTATAAATGTCGGATGTTTTATAGTTTGCTTACGGCTTCACTCGATTTATTATATGTAGGTGACTTCTGGTTGCTTCTTAAACAACCCATATCGACAGTTCAAGTATTTCTCCTTTCAAAATTTTTTTTCCAAAAATAATGTTTTCTGTTTATAAATTACGAAATTATTTGTAAAATATTAACAGAACCATAATCCCGACTTTGGAGATTGCAAAACTTATCCTACAATAAGCAAAGTCAGATGAACAATAGATGACGCGAACTTTGGCCAACAACGGCGCTTTTTTTTCTAAGGTTCCATGTGTTTTTCTGATAATTCGAGTCGTTGGCGATCAAATGTGTGCCTTTGCTAGCATTCGTTTTTTATTTGAAAGGGCATAAAATTAGAATACTACCATTGTCTACTTTAGCTGCTGTACAGCGCGTTTAAATTTTATAATAAACTGTAGTCATCTACAAAATATGCGATAAAATTTACGCCAACCCGCGAATGGGCTGTTTGGGTTAGCCGGTAGTTTAGGTTTTAGTGATTTCGGGTTAAAGATCTTGAAAACAGAACGGACAGCAAACATAAACGTAATAGTAATCTATTTTTGTTAAACCTTTTCTATGAAAAAAAGGAATGCTTAGTACTTTTTGCGTTCGTTTTTGTGATATAGGCTTGTGGCGTACTCTCAAGTGTTCCAGGACTCTACATATATAAAATTTATTCAAGTCGGTCACCCCAAGATGGAGGCGATGACGAAACAGGGTGAGTCTTACTTTAGATGCTCTTTACGCACAAAGCAGGTCCTTTTTTTTGTTTTTTTTTTGACTTGACAATAAATATAGTTGCATGAATGTAATAGGGTACAGTGACATTTTCCGTGTCTCTTTTTAACCAACTTTGAATAGCAATTGAAGACGCAGAGAGATTTGATTGCTGCCGAACTGGGTTCCCTCAAGAGACGACGAAAAGCATATAGCGACTCTTGCTTTGAGAACTTGGATCTCAGAGTAGAAGATGTTTAATAAAAAAAAGCAAATATTTAAAGGTCATATTAGGTTCACAGGATCAATAACGCGCTTTCAAACTTTGAAAATACGCACTACTGATCAGTTATACTTGGCAGGCAAACAGTGTTAACTTTCAACTTTCTAGTTTAGCTTACTTGGGAAGATAATGTGGAAGTGAATAAACAAATTTCTAAAATCAAATTTTTTCATCCAAGACGAGTATGTTTTAGGAAATTGTTGTTAAATATGTTTACCTTAGAAAACGATTCTAACATGGATGTTTTATTATCTGTGGTTAAAAGACATTTGAGTGCTAGCACCAGATAGGCTTTAGCAAAGTGAAAAAGGTTATCTCGCACAAATGCCAGACTATGTATAATTTACAGTTTTGTATGTACGGATGTGTCGAAACGCATGTACACACAACAAGTATGTTAATAAACAAAGGCATTAATGCTCACTTCTTGCAAAGCATTACATACTATAGTATGATAGCTATTTTTGATTCTTTGACAGCGTATGTGTAGCTTCGTTTCTAATAATATCTTCAAATGGCAGAACTATTTAGACCATATATGGTTGTCATGTCCATGCAATGTTGCATATCTTTTCCGGCTACAGTGCGGTCGTCTCTTGTCTATTAGTAGTTTTAAAACTTCATGTGTTTGTAATGTGCAATATGTTCCCCCAAACCCTCAGAAACCTTAACTTTACCGCTCGCATCTTTCGCTTATCCTTCACTATGCCCCAAGCTTGGCAGCCGATAGAAAATGCTTCGAGAGTTTGTATAGGGTTTTGCATATTTGCTGCTACGATAAAGAGATCTGCACACTTATGTATCTCTTGAATTTCTAGTCTGTGTGAAGCTGTTGTTAAGAGTAACGACAAGTCGCACAATTACTATTTTTGTTTTTAGGGACATTACTCAAAATTTTACTAAAATGTTACTTGGGTCCCTATTGCGTGATACCAGTCAACCATCATGAGACAGTTGTTTCTAAGCAGCTTACTTTAAAGGTGTTTTTCATTTCCCTCGAATTTTCTTTTGACGTACCTAAGATAAGTCGGGTTCATAAAGTAAATATTCCTGGCCGATGCGTCGCTGTACTTTTAGGACGACGTCAGCGCTGAAAAAGTAGTGTCACTGACGATCTATCTATGAACTCGGATACCTTAACAAATTGTTAAGGTATCCGAGCGACTGAAATTTTTGGACGTATCAGAATCCTACCAATTCAATCAACTATGGGCTTATTAGAAAGCGGTTATCCAAACTTTTTTTTCTTTTGGCGAGGCGTTTTTAGCATTGAAACTGCTAATTCTTATATTTGACGTTTCTCTTTTTTGGTTAGTTTCTTTAGCTCATTGATGCCTTCTTATACAAGTAGACAGTAACTGTGGTGACTTACTGTTTAGATAACTACGTAGTTATTTTTAAGGCAAACCACTTTCGTCGTAGCAGGCGACGATTTTAGAATGACCGCCATTGCTAATAGTTACGAGTGCGTAAAATTGAGACAGCGAACGTGGATACAGTCATCATTGCAAGATCAATAGTTCGGGAGATATAAATCGATCTCAATTCTTACAAAATAGCTATGACTGAATCGCTTACAACTGTTTCGATTACCTAAAACGTTTGGCGCATTGTCCTTTTGGCTGTTGCTGCTGTTTTATCCTATCCTTTTTCTTTTTCAATGATCAGGATCGGTACTTCTGTTGGTCCGGTGGTTCAGTTAGACACCTCTGATCCATATTGGTGTAGGAGTAGGAGTCATTTACAAATTTCGTAATCGTCCCATACCGGTGATCTTCTACGGCTTGTTATTCACACTCTGTTCGCACCTTCGCATTGTTTCAATTTGGACTTCATGTGAACTAATGCAATTGGTGATGCTTCTGTGAATCAAGATAAAATTTGGAGAACAACATTAATTAGCCCAAAGAAGCAAAAGTGGATATGGCCGTGAAATGCTATAAACTAAGAGACGGAGAGTACTTTGAAGTCACACCAAACAAAGGCTTGTTTTTACTCATCTAGTTCCAAGATTGTAGCAATTTGAAGGTGCAAAAATTAAGCAAATTGGAGTAGGTATGTTTGGCTTCCTTAACTTACGGGTCGGTCCGTAACTCTGTCATCCGCAACGGAATAGAGCAACAAGCGAGCTACAAGTGAACCTGAAGTCACCTCGCGTGCACAATAGAGCTCCCCGTAGGCGTAAAGTATTTTCAGGGATCGTTACTGCTTACCATCGTCGTTACGGAGAATGCCAAAAAAAAACAGCATTAGCAATTCTCGAAACTCTTTGCTCATGCAGTGGATTCCAACGAAAAATGTCATATACTGCATCGAACGATAACTGCATCGGTTTTTTTTAGAGAAACCGGGTATATATCTGGTTTCTGCTGCTTCTGCTGCTATGTTTATTTGGTTACGGAGCCCTCTAATTGGCATCAAGCTAAAACTATGCTGTATAAAGTTGTTGCATCCTTAAGCTACATGAACATTCACCATTGCACGGAATGAGTCTTCCCAGCGTATCAAGTCCTTCAGCTGTTCAAATTGTCGTCAAAGACATGTCGCGGGCTACTAGATCTACTAAATTTTCCAAAAAAAAAATCCGAAGGAGTTAGTGAAATAAAATTTTCCTTATTCACCTTTTTTGGTAGTACTAAAACATTTCATATATACAAGCTAATAAGCAAAATCACAGGATCAAGATGAATATCAGATTATTATAGCTGTATACATCATATACGAGTATACTTTTTTTTTACGTATATATACGAGTTTTTAAACGTTGTTAATTTTGTGGATGTATTTAAATTGGTATCAGAGGCCACGAACGGTATGAGATCTATTACACTTCTGCTCATATCTGGAGCATTTACACATATTGTCTAACTTATCGAAGCCCCGTTATTTACAGAATCTACGGTGTAACCCATGCATGACAAAGCGTGTCACGACAGTCGTTTAATTTGTACCTTTTCATTTGCTGTTCATTGCATTTGAATGTAAGGAATTTCTCATTAATATCTGAACTTTTTGAAGATTGGTCTTAAACGTCTCTGTTGAGAAGTGGCGATCCAGGTCCTCTTATAGCTATGGCGAGTCAGCTAAGAAATACATGAGACGGTTACGGGTCGCTACGTGTAGTATCAGCGCTCTCTTAAAAAAGTTGTTTAGGGTTTCCCGCTGTGAGATCCTTTCAAATGACACGTACCTGTTACGTTGTAATCGAATCTATTTTGAGGTAAAGCACGCTAATAGCAGCTGTGGGAGATAAACGATGAGATGATTGGCGACCGAAACCACCTTACTGCATCTTTTGGAGACGTGTGCGGTATACTTCTGTTGACGGAAATGAACAACCCTATTTACGAAACCTGATTAACATGAACAAGAGGCAATACAGCTAGATACAAAATGTCAGTGGCCACTGTCCTACCTCGTCTTGTAAACTTCATCACCTCCGTCTTGGCCAAGTTCATCGTCAATCCCAACTCTGTGATTCCCGCATGGAGCTTGCTGCATTTGGAACACGTTCAACCCTAAAATCACTACGTGGTGCCCATTTAGCATGACTTCGACTAAGCCCTTTGGTCCTGTTAATTAGTCAAATGGGCCTTTCAACAGATGGAGCAGATGAGGTTAGTTTGTCGACAGTTTTCTGTCGGGCAAAAGTTCGGATACTCTGTTATCGATGGTTGTCCTGTTATTCTGTAGAGCCGCAGTGAGAAAGTTAAGCACGTTAGTAAGGGCTTCCATTTGGACCAACGTGAGCATAATCTTACAGACGCCGAGTCAAAAGCTGCTTTGAAATGCGCGGAAACCGCGTACGTGCATTGCATGATTTAGTCAGTGCTTTTATGACGTCAGCCATGAGACTCCCGCACGCCCTTTCCAAAGCCTTGATTGCTACCGTTGGAATGACATATAAGCTTAAGTAAACATTTAATTTTTTACTTAGCAGGTTGGAGAGCAGATTCTAACACAAAAAAAAATTTATATTCCCCGCCCTGGTAATGGCGTAATTAGATTCTTCCCCCTATTGGACCGTTAATAGGGTAATAAATCTCCATTGGGCTGAGTACCACTATAGTGTACCATTTGAGGTTCTCGTTGTAAACCCGGTCACGACTGGCGGCTTTCATATAGTTTTTTACAGACAGGTTTAAACAGAGGTTAGAGGGTTGAGCTTGGGCCGTACCTCAAGCTTTCAATACTTTGTATTGAAAACCTTTTGGTTCTTACCCCTCGCGTTTAAAGGGTTTATTTTTCTCAAAATGTTGAAGGCACTTTTCCGGCCACTTCACGTTTATAATTGTGTGGAAAGCGTTAAAAGCAGATAATTTTGTATTATATTAAGTCTCTTTCTTCACGATTATGTTATTTGCCTTTGTTGTACTTATGACACATGTCACTGAGTAATTCACTGTTTCCAATTCAAGGCATTTATGACAACTAGTTAAGAAACGCCGCCATTGGTCTGTAGGTACTGTTAATGTACTTCTGCTTCACACGTGAGGCTCTCGATATCTATTTTATACACCGCATAAATCGCCGTTGGCATTCTGTTAGAAAAAAATTTTCTCACCAATGGACCTAAGAGCTGTACAATGCTGTCGTCCATCACTAATGCTGTTTTTCGTGATGGGGCGCGCTGGATCGTTTCAAAATCTCCAAAAAATATGAAGCACTTCGCTAACAGCCGTCGTCAGCGGCGTATACGTTTGCCTAGCTTGTAAGTTAAGCACTTGTCCTTCCAGCTGTGAAACTCGCTCGTGACAATATTATATTTCGATTTTTTAGCTATCTCAAGGTGCACCAGGTATTTAAACGATTTAAACGGCATTTAGTACATTTACGGCGGCACGCTGGAACTACTCCCGAAAACGTTATATCATATTGATTCTTCTAGCGCTATTCTTAAGGTAGCAGGTCCAGTAGAAGTTCATTAAAAATAAGTCATTTATTTTGGGCTTCCTGAGGCGTTTCGTTGCTGGTCTTCAAAATCGATAAATGTCCAAGGGCCACCTAGCGTGAAAAAGGGATTTTGGAAATTGTATTATTTAAATTATTATTATATTAAATTAAGAAATTAAAATCTCGGAGCACCGTTTCCACTAAATTATAAAGGCTACTAGGTTGAAATTAGTTTTACGTATGACCACCTGCCCAACTTTGTCGTCAGATACCCCTCTTGTTTATAGATTTTTTTAAGACATTTTGTCCAAGATCTTATATAAGATCTTGGAATATATATATATATATATATATATTGTTTACAGAAATTTCTGCAGAGTTTTTGAAGTTCTTTGGAAACCGGTGAATTGATTCTACATAATTACCTCGCAGTGTTTCATTCTCTTGTATATCGTATTATCAGTTGTTAATCAACAAACATCATGTTTAGAAAAGAAGCCTGCTTAAAGTGAATTTTTGAAATATAAAGTAGCTTTAAATCCCCCATACTCTTAATATTTTATAGCTATTTTTTTATTTATCCTCAACCAATATAGAAGGGGTTAGTAGGTTTACGGTCATTGCATTCTTTTCTATACTTAATCTTATTTTTAATTTTCTCAACTGTAAAATTTTGTCTTTTCTACCCTGTGTTTAAGTAAACTTAGTGATTTCTAATAACAATAGGAAATTTTAAAAAAGACAACAGTGTTAATTTAGAAATACAGGAGTCGAAACTTTTTACGTAGAATACTATATTCTACGTAAAAAGGGATTGTTATAGATCTACGCGGAACAAAAATAAACGATCCTAAAAGAGAATTGTTGTAGGTACTATTTTTTTGATTGAGTAAAAGGTTCTTATCCGTGCCTTGAACCGTAAACCAACATGGAGGTATATGCGAGGTTACATGGAATATTTCATCCGAGAATGCCAATAGGAAAATACAACTAAAGGAAACTGCCTATCTTCTTCTTTCGGCCAAAATTTACAGATGGTGCACATTGGCGAAGCAGTAAGTGAAATACAAGCTGGTGCGTTAAAACAGGGAAAAATATTTGTTGAAAATATTTGGCGAGCTGGTCATTCGATGCTCCAGGTATTAGACAAAAGCAGTTATTTTTAGATTAAAACACGGCGAACGGTGCATCCTTTTGAAAAGTTGAGCAAATATTGGCGATTATCCGATTCTTCTGCGCTGGACGAGTACTCATCAAAATTAAAAACTTCGAAATCGACAGTCTAAGTTATCGCCAATTTTCATGCTCAAGGTTTCTTCATAAAAGTTTACCTTGGAGGCGGGTCCCTAATAGAATTTAGATTTAAAAGACTCGAAAATTAATCGAAACTTTGATATGCAAAGGTTTTCGATGCAGAAAGTTATGGCCGCATTTTTGAGAATTTCGGTTTGCTATCAGTGCAAAATATAATTTTATTTGTATGTAGCGTATTTTGCTGAGAGACTATAGCTATCGATATCGTTTAACATACGGTTACTATTGAAATGTTACTCACAGACTAAAAAAAAATATTTTAAAGTAGTGATTTAGTTTTCGAATCAAAGCTGTAATCGCATTGAATGGTGCTTTTATTTAATAACATCAATGTTAGAAGTATGCACAAACAGTTTCGTTGAAGAATTTGCTTGTTCCGAAATTACACGTTTAGAAACAAAGCGTAAGAAGTTTAAACCATGTATAGCTCAAGTTTGTTTTCAGAAAATGTCGTCCTGGGATCTACAAAAAGGACTCGTTCATGCTGCCTTCAAAACGTAGTATCATAATTGATGCGTGATATATGTCAATATCTAACATATTACGACGTATAAACGATAAAGACCTAAATTTATTTAATACATTTACGAATACTGCAGATGGCGTTTGTGCAATCAACACACTAATTATCAAAACCTGAATCTGGCCTGAACTACGTTGTGAGAATTGGGCTTGCTGTGTGACTTCACCACGATTGTCGAGAGCTTTGTACACCTATACGCGTTTTATCCCAAAAGCAGTAAAGCTATTTACTCCGAAGGGGTTAAAGAAACTAAATATTTGACCCTAAATCGGGCCTGCAGTCTGCAATAGTGCAAGTCTGCCATTTTTAAAAGTAATGAAAACAATGAATAGCAAACTTGTTTCTTCATATTACATTATTATTTTTTAAATACCTCTGATACTTTAGCTTTTTGGAAAACTGATAGATATATGAAAAATGTAATGCTTATACATTTTTAGAAATGACTGAAATAAAACAAATGTTGTTTAGATTTCCAATTTTTATTTTTAGGTTATAGCTTTTTACGGCTTACTTTTGATAAATTCGCTATTCCGATACCAAATTTTAGTCGCCTTTAATTTACTATCCTATATTTTTAGTATCAAAGCTTGGGATTTGATAGCGAGGATAGGACGATTATGTTACAAGGGCATAATTACCGAATATAGTGATTTATAATTCAATGAAAGCAATGACATCAATCGTGTACAGCAAACAGCTTTCTAACGAAATACGCAAAATTTGGTGATCAGTAAACAACAAATAGAAAGAAAATAAGGAAAACTACGAAAACGTATGCATACTCTTGGTCCATTTAAGGTTTTACCGATGTTTTTTTCTTAGTAAACTCTCGTATTGCTATTTCTCTTCGTGGTCGTCATGAAAGCACTAGATACTTGTTTCGTGTTTAGCTCGTAGTGCGTAGTTTAGTGCTACTATAATTGGTAAAATAATTCTGTCATATACACACTCCACCAAGCTATTATAAAATCTAATTAATCATTACTATAATCATTACCGATACTATAATCATTACAGATAAATTTCAACCACATAAAAACAGATTGTTTTGATAATAAACAAAAAAAACTGAACCCTGTCTTAGCCGTAGTACTAGTTGCTCCACGTTTCCTTCATATCGTAAAACGTTTTATTAGCGGGATGGCCTAACACGTGTCGACAAAACGTACCAATTCATCTAGCTATTTTCATAGATAAGAGGTATGTAAATAATCCACATACACAGATTAAAGCATTTTGAATCATTACTGGCATGAAATAAGGCCTGAGATAGGAGCAAAAACATTCTTTTTTAATATGGTATTCTTTATTCGG